CCAAAATGTTCGATTTGACCTATTAAATCTGCCGTGCTCTGCATATTTTGGGAACAAATAATAAAAGTTTATGAACTCGGTCTAACTTACGCAATAATCGCCTTAGTTCGGAAAAAATCTCATTACATTTCACAAGCCATAAAAAGAAACCTGATTCCCCCACTAGAATCCTTTGGCCGGCGTCCAACGATGCAGGGAGACAGTGACGGAGTCGAAGTGATTTATTCAGGAAACCGATATGGAAATAATATTACTACAACTCCGACAACTCGACAGAAATAATGAATCGTATAATGATACTAGCAAGTTAAGGTTTGGGACGCTTTATTATTGAACCTACACGTGATGTGGCATGTGATCTATCACGTGGCATGGTAAAAGTTACGACTCACGTGTTACGACCTCGATCACGGTCACACAATTAAATGCAGATTCTTCATGCAAAATGTATAAGGTGTTACCACTTGTCATAAACATCATGGGTTCCTAGAACATTCAGAACCTACATATTTTAGTTGTCATGTGGGATATCTTGGGCGGTGGTCACGGGGTTAAATAACTGCGAGAGATACCTAAGTAGGATATGAAGTGCACGATTCGTTATTGTTTTTCGCTAAATACTTAATGTGTTAAAAATTTCATTGGTGGTGCGCAAAAATTCTGCACCAAGACAACTTCTACAAATAGAAGGAGTAGGTACATACTACTAAAGTCGTATGTAGTAGTAGTACTTAGATTGGTAATGTAAGTACCTAACAAAAGTTTTATACCGACACGCAAGCAATTATGTAGGTAGGTATGTACCTACAACTAAAGGTATTGCACTTAGTTAATAGCACTTCGTTGTAGCATAGCATTTCGAGGACCTTAATTAAAACGTTATTTTGTCCATACTCATTAACTGAGCAACACGAAATGAATAATTAACCCGTATAAGAGTTTTAAATTAAATACGACTCTTTGGAGACCGACTTTCAGAAAGGACCCGCAAGGTACCTACTTAGTTTGGGGAGTAACCCTTTGAAATATCACGAATGGTTGTAGTACCTACTTATGTAAAGTAAGTAGCTGGAAGAAAGCTGTTACTAAACTTTGTTATTTATTCACTATCGAGGATCATTTTATAATGCTACATTCAAAACTTTAAACTTAAAAAAACGGGTTAAATAATTTTTTTAACTTACAGTAACTAAATATGTAAAGAAAATATTGTTGACAATAAAAGCGTCTAGCGCGAAATTTGATCCCAATGAATTTAAGGGTAGGAAATAATTTTGTACTACCTAAGTAAGTAGGTACCTACTCAACTTTCTTAATATTTTACTTATGTATATGTGGTTGTCTGCTATTTTTCGGTCACCCTTTCCTTGGCATTCATTTTAGTGATCTTTTAAATAACTACTTACTAAGTTCCTCCTTTTAACATCTCATGTAATAAAGTCAGTGGGCTATGCTTACGTATCTCGATAATTACCTACATAATAAATGGAATAGGATCCTAAATATTTAATTACATCTTATTTACCTACCTAGTAAGGTAAATAAGATTTGAATATACATAACATTTGATTAGATGTTTGGCCTTTACCTTAGACATAGTTAAGTAATTATTTATTTGAAAAGCCAGTTTTAGACAACTTCTCACGTACCTACCTACTTCGGAATGCCGAACTCCAAACAATGAATAAAATAAAACATCCCCTGAGGCATTGCCCCAGAGCAATGTCTTTTCTTTACACCTCAGTAAATCCTTAGTTCTATCCTTTATTTACAAATTCTGCCATTGTCCGATACCTTGCTGATTTTGTATGTTGTTTTGGGAAAAAACAAGCAGTCGCATTAGATAAAAAACTGCTTACTGTAGGTAGGTCTTTTTTATTACTGTAGATATTTACTTCAGCTTTAGGTACTTTTTTAGACTTTATATTGTTGTTTCTCTCCATAAGGTCACCCAAAGGGCGATGGAGCGTGCTATGCTCGGAGTTTCCCTACGTGATCGAATCAGAAATGAGGAGATCCGTAGGAGAACCAGAGTGACTGACATAGCCCACAGAATCGCTAAAATAAAGTGGCAGTGGGCGGGGCAGATAGCTCGTAGAGCTGATGGCCGGTGGGGCAGGAAAGAGTGGCGACCACGAGCCGGAAGCAGTGCCGTAACTAGGGCGGTGCCAGCGGTGCCCAGGCACAGGGCGCAGACCCTGGAGGGGCGCAGAAATGACCCGACCAGTATCTAGTTTTGTTTCATGCATGGTAGTTAGTAGGCACATTTTGTTTTATTGCGAATATGGTGTAGACGCGCCCTCTGTACTATCTATATCTATATGGCATTTTTCAAGAGATCTTGAAACAACAACACTTGTAAAGATGGTTTTACATTTGTTTGATGTGTCGTGACGTGACGACGCGTCAGAACGGTATCGGTTTCATACATTTAGTACTAGCTGGTGCCCGCGACTTCGTCTGCGCAGGATTAGTATTTCGAACAATATGTTTATAAATTGTAGCCCATGTGTTATTCTGATGTATAAGCTATATTATTGTAAAGTTTCATTAAAATCCATTCAGTAATTTTTGCGTGAAAGAGTAACAAACATCCATCCATCATCCATACAAACTTTCGCGTTTATAATATTATAGTAGGATGGTAACGTTCACACTAGTGCGTAACGATACAGTTCTGACGCGTCACGTCACGACACATCAGATAAATATAAATCCACCTTGTCTTGCTCCCAATATTACATACACAAACAAAAGTTACCTATACCGTAACTATGAGACAATTCTGTCTATATTCATTTGGAGGGCGCCACTTCTAACTTAGAAGTTCTAAGCAAATCTATCAATCTAGCTGAGGAGATGTACATATAGTTCACGTTACGCTGTCATTGCTGTCAGCCACATTCATTGGTCCTCCCCAGTCCTCCCTTTATCTTTGATTTTATTCATTAACTACGTGCGGCGTTACTGACGCACTAGCGTGCGAGAGATAGATAGAAAATTTATCGTTCGACAAGAGTGAAAACAGAGAGCAGAAATAACAGGAGTGGAACTGACAGGCAATCCCCTCTAGCAATGTAAGTAGACCAGTGGTTCACTCAGTTTATAAAAACTAGTTGCAGCGCCACCAATGACATATTCCAAATGTCACTATTGAAGAGTAACGTGCTGCGATAAAAATAGTGAATTGCAGTGTTTTTAATTGTAAGAAGAGATCTGAAACATCAAATCTTGAAAAGGACAACATTACATTCCATCGGCAAATATTATTTTATTTATTTCACATTAATTAATACACTAAATTTGCAAAAAACTAAATTTCTAGAAGTGTTGCCACTGGAATGACTGGAAAGCAAAAATTCCTAATTGTGTAATATTTTAAGGATAGTGTACTTATAACAATATAATCGAAATTCTATGCAAACAATTTGATACTGCCAATAGGTGTTCTCTTTTATGATATTTGTTAGTATTAATACATTATTAATAATCACTGATAAATGTAAATTCATTTATTACTTTTACCTCNATATCATTTTTTTAAACGAGCCATAGACTACTATGAACCATAGAGCAATGATTCTCATCGACAAAAATATCGATAGTGTCTCAGCGCCATCAGCTGTTACACAAATGTCATTACCTCGTCCCCCTCAGGAAATGGCGAAATTTTTTTGTATGGAAATAAACGCGCGCTGCTACTCCTGTTATTTCTGCTCTCTGAGTGAAAAGGATGACTTACAAAACTAAACGATTCACAAACGTTCCATTCTGCCGCGCCGTCCCACCCAATGTTCGGGGATTCCCCGATACATCGAGAATCACGCATTCAGATAGCCGCAGTGTTGCCAGAAGGTTACTTTTGTAACCTTTTAGGTTACTTTTGAACTGCATTGGTTACTTTTAGGTGATTTTTTAACATTACGTGCTCTGTGGGATAAACTGAGGAAACTTGCGGGTGAGATGATACATGGTAGTAATTCCGTAAATAATGCACATAATGATTACTATGTTAGTGACCATCATGAAGCTAAAGATAAAAGTTTAAAAAAACAATATTAAAAAAAAAAACAAAAAGATATGCAGTAACGTTGCCGGTTTAGAGATACTACTGTGGGCACGCTCGTCTTCATACTTTTGACATGCTGCATCTATCCATATCTGTGACTGTGACTTGCTGTGACTAGTACCACAGAATACATAATAGTAGCAACAGAAATTGCACTCCTTTGTGTAGGATCAGATGCCGACATTTTAACGGTAATAATAATAATGCGAAATATCCAACGCACATGGTGCATTCGAAATCGCACCTTACTACTACGCTCACAAGAGCGCATTTTTTTTGTGTTTAGAATTGATCTACGTCACCGCTCAAGCGTCAGGGTTGTATGAGCAAAGTAAAATAAATAAAAACTTAATTTTAAGAAGCATTTATTGTATTTACGATTAGAAAACTTTAATCTAGTGGAGTTTGTATAATCGTACCATCTCTAAAGTACCTATTAATAAACTTCAGTGTTGCGATAATTCGAAATTAAACAAACAGTTTTAAAAGGTGTAGTGTCGGAAAATAGACACGGTGAAGTAAAGTTAATGTTTTTATTAGCTAAAATAATTTTTTTGCTATAGTTTTTTGTCATAAGTATTTAAAAATAATTTATTATTTAAAAAGTGTAGTTTTTTTTTATTATTTAAATCACTACAGTTAATTATTACTCCTAAATATTACAATTTTTCATTAAAGAAGAATAACAGTGCTGTTGGAATAATAAACCTTAATTGCGACGATGATCGACCGAGCGTGTATAGAAATACGCGTAAGCAAACAGGCGCGTGGCGGCCCGGACTGATTTGCAACTTGAAGTTGTCGCGCGCTGTAGGTAATTATCTCGGCCGGCATAGGCGAGTGACGGAGGCCTGCTAGTACGGTGAGTTTCTGAACTGTAACCACATCTGTCAAATACATGACAGATCCGATTTTGACACGAAACATTTTTTGACATTGACATCTGTGGCTTATTGGATATCTATGGCGTAAATTGTCGTGTGTACGAAGAAATTCTAGAAAAACCATGGCTGCACGCGGAGAAAGGGGTGTTTTGCGAGTTTTAGATAAATTAGAAGCATCAGTAAATGCTGGTCAATATTATGAGGCCCATCAGATGTATAGAACTCTATATTTCAGGTACTAAAATTGTGACACCATTTCATCATAACCAGAACAACAACTGTGTTTTATTTAACGTGACAATTTACATTTCAGGTATCTTAGCCAAAAAAAGTATGCAGATTTATTAAATTTATTAAGTAAAGGTTCTACATTACTGTTGGAACATGACCAACAAGGCAGCGGAGCCGATCTGGCTATCTTGCTTATCGATGTTCTAACAAAATCGGAAACAAAACCATCTGAAGAATGGATTGTCAAGATAGCCAAGTTATTCGAGATGATGGATACAAGTATTCCAGAGCGCGAAACTTTTTTAACGAATTCTGTAAAATGGTCTATGGACGATAATAAAAAAGGACATCCATTATTACACAAGGTAGGTATTGGATACTTCAATGTCGACTAATGTTTATATCCTATCTCCTCCATCATGAAGTGGCTCCTGCCAACGGCTTGTTAAAAAAGACTGATAGATTTTTTTGTTACAGAAAATAGCAGAAGTATATTGGCGTGAGAAGAAATACACTTCAGCTCATAAACATTTCTTGCATTCCTGTGATGGGTCATCTTATGCCAGCATGTTAATAGAGCTGCATACTACAAAAGGCCTGAAGTCAGAAATAGACCTATTTATAACACAGGCGGTCTTGCAGTTTCTTTGCTTGCGTAACATACAAATGGCAAATGAAACTTTCAAAGAATATACTGGCTCTCACCCAACAATAAAAAATGACAAAGGGCCACCATACCTATTCCCCTTATTAAATTTCCTATGGTTTTTATTAAGAGCAATAGAGCAGTAAGTAAAGATTTTGGAATTTTCAGCATATTATTATTATACTTGTTCAATGCATATAATAATAAGTGTATTTTTTTCAGGCGACACTCAACCCAGTTCAAAATATTAAGAAACTGGTATGCAATTAGCATTAAGAGAGATCCTAATTACTCGGTTTATTTGGACAACATTGGGCGTATTTGGTTTGGAATCGAGATCCCTAAAGATAACAGAAATCCAAATTCCATGTTGGGTGGTCTCTTGAAGTCAATAATAGGTGATGTTGATAGTTCTGACGAAGAAGGCGAATTATTGAGCCGTAATACTACAGCTCCTGATTTAGATTGATTTCATTTAAGTTTCCATAAGTTATCATCAGCTTTATTCACAAATACATTTGTTTAAATTATTACACTATGATTAATGAGTCTTAAAAATGAATTTAGCATTATTTTTGATGTTGTTTCTGTTAAAATGATTTGATCTTTTTAGGGGAAACTTAAATAGTCAATTCTATGAATTCAAAGCTGTCATAAGGGAATGAAAATGCTCTAGTTTTAATCAAAAGAGAATGTACTTTTCTATTAATGAATTTGTTAAAAATTTGAAACTAGCCATTTTTCGTGTGCAATTCTTAGAAAAGAGTGACAGACCTAATAATATAAAGAATAGTTTATAATTATTTGAAACTGATAAAATGTTTACCTATGCTACAATTTTAATAATGGTGGAAGGAATAAATATTTATTTTTGAATTTAATCATGTTATAAAAATCCCTTAATTGGAAGGACTGGCACAGTATCAACACACATAAAAAAAGATAATCACTTACATTTAAATAAATATATTTATGAATTTTAATTTCATTATAAATTTCTGTGTATTATTACAAGTATTTAAGTATTTAAAATATTGCACATTAATTATTATAATACCAACTCTTAAGGTTAGGTAAACAATCTTAAGTATATTGAGATGATAATAATAATCTTTGAAAAGATATGGAATGCTTGCAATTCTCATAAAAATTACAATTGAATAGTTTTTCAGTGTGGTAATTGAAGGTTAACATATTTAGACACAACTTAAATTAAAAACATCTTATTATACCATTACTTAAGTAACTAATTCCAGGGTCATAACAAATGTCATTAATTAAACCTAACACAGCAATCCAATACTAATAATTCCATTGTGTAGTGGGGTTCATAAAAACTTAAAATAATATAGGTATAATATTTTCATATTATTATGTAGCCTCCACACTGAAAATGGTTATTAATATTGAATGTTTTTAACTTTGTACTTGAACTGTTATTTAAGTTACTAAGCAATTATGTAAACAATCACCATAAAAAATATAATCATTGGACGAATCCAACTAAAGATTGTGACAAAATATCTTAAAATAAAATAATTGGATTACTCTAGGAGCAATGTCACTGTAAGTCATTAAAAGCTTGTTTTAAATATTTTGTTTTAATTATAAATATGAAAAGTGTACCTACATACATACATTAGCTAGTCAATGTCAATAGAATAACCAGGAGGAAGGTAATATACCATAATCCCATATGCCATAAAATCAATTGAGCTATAAATTACTCAGATTTGGATCTTTCTAATTTACATTACAATCCTTAGATGTTTTGTTAAAACATTACAAATCTTCCACTACAAAAGAGGTAATTTCTGTAGTTAACTTTCCAAAGTGGACTGTACTTTTATCAAGATTAAATCTTAATTTTCTATTATTTAATAAATCTAATGCTTGCTGAACAATAAAGCGATTGAAACCATATACTTCTGGATGAGACAAAAACTCTTGAATATCCATCCATTTGCAATCTTTAATTTCTATATCTGACTTCTTTATTGTATCTGATGTGGCCTCTAACATGACTACAGCATAAATGTCAGAGTTGCCAAACATCCTGTTATGAGCATGCCTGAAGGTAACCAATGATTTAAACACTGCATCTATACCAGTCTCTTCTTTAATTTCTCTTACTGCAGCATCTTTGATGTCTTCACCTGAAATTCAAATTTTATGTCAATGTTAAGAAAAACATATTATTTTGTGGTAAAAGAATGTTTTTATAAAGTATCTACTAACATATAGATTGAATAACTTGTATGTCTAACCTCTTTCAACATATCCTCCAGGAAGTTTCCAGTGACTAATTTCTGCATGTTTTTCTACCACCACCAGCATTTGGTTCATGTCATTCAAGACTAGTCCACCAACACCTAAGTTGGTATGGCATGCTGGTGGTAAATTAGCTGGCCTGTCTGTCGGCAACCATTTATACATCATTACAAAATTGTCTCTAGAATGGTGGAAGTTAAAACCTTCCTGAAAGAATAATCAATTATTAGGTGGATTTATAGCTCCCATAGACATCATAGTACATAATAATATTAAATATATGTACAGAAATGTAGCTTCTTCAGTTTATAATAAAAGGTAGATGTGGCATATTTACATTTGCTAAAAGTGGTACCCAATCAGCATTTTTTATGTCAACTTTAAACCAAATACATCGTCTTTTCTCTTCAGTCCACTTTTTAAGTGAATCTGTAACATAAAATTATACAGATATAAATGGGATTAAATTCTTAAGATCGTTATGGAGGGATTATGGTACTGGAATAGCATAACTGGCTGGAATAATAATGGTTTATAACTGGTAGCACTAAAAATTAATAACTTGCGCACTATAGAATCAAGCTTACAAAAAGTAAAGGCCACCTTAGCGAAATCTGTGGTATTTTCCTCACATTCATTTATCAGTGTAAGATTGCTATCTAAATACCTACTTACCAGAGATTTGGCGTTTGAAATTATTAGATTCGCAAGGTTCTTTTTGAGAATCTACGGTGACACCATTATATCGATCAACAGTTCCTAAAAATGTTACTGTTTCCATTATGTATTTTTTTACTTTTCTTGTTACTTTAAATTATTACGTTGACCTTGTTTGCCGTATTCCTAAATGCAAATTAAAATTCTGTAGTCTCGCTCGTTCAAAATACTTTACTTCCGCATTTTGACATTTTTGATAAGGTCTCTGGCTGCTGATAACAAAACCACAGAATAAAAAAAAACTACAGTCTAAAAGATACCAAAGATATCGTAAATCCGAACTAGTATCGTAATAGGCCACAGATATGGATTAGAGTAGATACAGCAAGTTGATCGTCAAAGCGTGCCATTCCGATATGTCCAAATGGACATACATGGTCGAGTGATGTTCATGTAATCCGATTACAACAATCGGTTACGATGATTTTACGAGGACAGTAGTACGAACACGGTAGAAAGAAGAAATTATTTACGGATTGAGAATTGTAATTAACAGCACAAGTAACAAATAATTAATTAGAATAAAGTAGCAGTAGAAGAAGTATAATGTAGCATTGTTTTTAATACATATCCTGCGATGTACTCTTAAGAGTTAAAACCATGGTCCCTGTATGTGGTGCACTCATACCGATCCCAAGGAACCGTACTTACTCATAACAATAAGACACACACTGATGCATGTATTCATGCACTTGACAAATTTATGTCTTGAAACGCTGGTAGGGTAAAAAAAATAACGAGATTAGACGATTTGTAAGAATTAATTTATTTTAAAAAGGTAAATAAAGATGTTTTTGGTTTTGTATTTAACAAATTATCAGTTTTATTGGAATTAATTAATTTTCGAATCGAGTCACACGATATCATTCGATGACTTTGCAAATGCAGTACGATGATACGATTACTTTTACGTTGCGGCAATCACTAAAATTCGCTAAAATTAATTAATTCCGATAAAACTGATATTTTGTTAAATTTATAGCTAGTCTGACTGTGGATTAAAATAATTTTGTAGCGGTCGACGTTATTCTACAATTCTACATTATTAATTTGCAAATAATATTTTTGTTGTGCCTAATGTTTATGAAAGTAATGATCGTTATTCCACTATGTTAAATAGTACCTACTAGTAATTCATACTAATTCCATACTTTTAAATATCCTAGTAAGTAAATGACATAGTTTCATAAAATAAAGGCTATTTTACTCAAGCTTTTTATTTTTAATAAATGCAAAAATGCGTAGTTTTGCCAATACGTTTTCTTTCATAAAGCTAAGTCAGGTACCTAGTTTTGAAGATATTTCTAAACGACAAAATCTCGGCCGTCGTATACATAGACGTAATAGAGTATACTGCGATCACTGACCTAACTTCTTGATTTGTATATTTCGACGTTATTCAGTGCACTCTGTCTTCCGCGATCACTGATCTAACTTGTTTTATAATTCTTCTACTGCTACTTTATTCTAATTAATTACATAATATTTGTTACTCGTTGCTGTTAATTACAATTCTCAATCCGTAAATAATTTCTTCTCTCTACCGTGGTCGTACTACTGTCCTCGTAAAATCATCGTATCCGATTGTTGTAATCGGATTACATGAACATCACTCGACCATGTATGTCCATTTGGTCATATCGGAATGGCAGGCTTTGACTAGCAACTTGCTGTATCTACTCTAATCCATATCTGTGGCTTCATACAATTTTTGACACATGCTGCATCTATCCATATCTGTGGTATATAGGCGCTTTTTTTAGAAATCGGTGGGTCTAGACAAAGTGTAAATTATAATCGCAAACCAGTCGAAAAGTGGTCGAAAAGCCCCTTTTTTGTATGGAGTTTTGACGGATTCGATTTTCGATTCGATCAAAAAGTACGTTTTGTCTAGGGGGGCAGCAGAAATGTCATCATATGTCCAACTGACATAAAAATATTTTTAGACTGTGAACTAGTGATGCGACAAAACCTCTCGTTAATCGCGAAGTGAAATATTGTAGTACTTGCGTATCATCGCCGGGTGATCGTCAAAATACTAAAAATATGCAACAAAGTCGCAACGAATGTGAACTGATTATGAAATTTTCGAGAACAGGAAACAAACTGTATACACAGATGTAATCAAAAAACACACTGGATAATAAAACAATCAATGATATCTGTAAAGTTATTAAACTTCAAATANTTTAGCTTCATGATATAGTTCCAAAATACTGGACTGTCCTGTCGATGACATTGACAGTGGGGCGCCACCGTCAATACCGGATCGCTGGTTCAGATTTTTGCCATGTTGGAAACCATATAGTTGAACGATGGTAGCGCCCCCCTGTCATTGAGTTTGGCGGGACAGTTCAGCGTGGGTCATCTATAACACATGATTTTAAACGTCAAGTCAATTTGACAAGTCTCACAAATTTTCATCGTCCACGTACCTATTTTGCATAAAGTTAATATTCCTTCGGAAGGAATATTAACTTTATGGTATTTTGCTAAAATAATTTGTTTCAAAGATTGATTTCAAACTTGTAACGTGAAAATAAAGTTGGTTTCATGGGCTTGTTACATAATGTGTATGATATTATGAACACGTAAGTGATTATAAATATCCTTGGACATTTTTACACTGCGCTGCTAGTCCCAAACTAAGCAAAGCTTGTACTATGGGTACTAGACAACGGATATAAACTTACTTAAATACTTTTTTTTTGTAAATACATACATATTATACATAGAAAACACCCAGACCCGTCACAAAAATTAAAAATCATCATTTCAATTTCTGCCCGACCGGGAATCGAACCCGGGACCTCTCGGCATAGTAGTCCGTTCTGAACCACTACACCAAACGGCCGATTATGGTGTAATTGTGTATGAAAGTGTTTGTTTACATCTCTGCTGGATTCTAAAAAATCAAGGTATACTCTACTGTTTCTTGAATAAATTGACTCTGTTAATTTCCGCGCAGTGTATTCCGCCATTATGCAGATTGTTTGCAAGTTTAGTTTTCCACTAAAAATAAAACTGTTCCACCCTATCAAAAAAGGGAAGAAGGAATTATTTCTGTCTCTTTTCTATAAAAAATATTCTGACCCTCCCTCCACCACTACATTTTAAAAAAGTGTAATATTGACTGGCTGCTGCACGTATTTATTTGCTGTATCATCTATCTATATAGTTCCAAAATACTGGACTGTCCTGTCGATGACATTGACAGTGGGGCGCCACCGTCAATACCGGATCGCTGGTTCAGATTTTTGCCATGTTGGAAACCATATAGTTGAACGATGGTAGCGCCCCCCTGTCATTGAGTTTGGTGGGACAGTTCAGCGTGGGTCATCTATAGCATGTTATAGTTCCAAAATACTGGACTGTCCTGTCGATGACATTGACAGTGGGGCGCCACCGTCAATACCGGATCGCTGGTTCAGATTTTTGCCATGTTGGAAACCATATAGTTGAACGATGGTAGCGCCCCCCTGTCATTGAGTTTGGCGGGACAGTTCAGCGTGGGTCATCTATAAATCTGCGAGTTACCTGTCAGATTTGACATTCGACATAGAGCCGTTAGATAATCTGTGGGCGGCCCCCCACTCTGACTCTGTCTGTCGTTGTCGCGCGCTTTGTAATAATAAAATTATCAAGAAAGTGTTTTATTTATTTTAATACAGCTTTGCTTTGATTGTAACCGTTCCAATAAATGATTATCACAATGTTCTCTTGTAAGAAACTTTCTACGCAATACAATACTTTGAATAAAGTTTTAAGGTAGGAAGTAACTTATAAAGATAGATAGTTCTCTCATTCGTAGTTGATTTTATTGAAACTAAACAATTTGTTTTAGATTTTATTGTAAAAGTGCGTCACATAATTTAATGTATAATGGGAAGAAGGATAGGTTCAATGGCATCACTGTCGACTTACAGGAAGAGGGATGCGATAGTAATTTTACTAAGAAACTTAAAGGTTTGTTAAAGTTAAGACTTATTTGACTAACAAACTGGTGTAGGTATATCTACTAATCCTAGTGGCTTGCTTTTGTTGGTTATGTAAATATTTTTCTACTCTGTAAGGTCTTAAAAACTTATGTAGTTTAAAACATTATCTTTCTCTTTGCATAAAATAAAAGATTAAACAATAGCTACAGTAAGCAATTCCTAATGATTGCTTATAAAATGGTTATCTGTAAAGTTTTGTCAAATTGATGTAGGTAATTTACAGTTATTTTATCTGCAGTCCGATGAGTAATATTAATTAACTCTTATATTATGATAATGGCAGTATTATAAGTCAACCTGTTATAGTAAACAACTTATGACATTATGACATAACCATAAAAATATGCATGCATTGTATGATTCTATGATTGTATCTTTCTTATATAAACTTACAGATTCACTAGATAAATGGACAGCGGAAGGCAGGAGATGTATATGGTTTAAAGTGAACATAAGAAACTCCAATTGTGTTCCAATATTAGCACAAGTAAGTAATAAATAGTCAGATTATTTTTATTATTGACTTAAATATAAATGAAAATTTCATATATCTTTAGAAAGGTTTTAATTTTCATCATGCCAGAGATGATTTCCTCATGATGTACAAATGGCTGCCCAAGGATTCAGAGCCAAACTTACCGCCAGCTTCTCACACAAATTTGGGTGTTGGTGCCATGGTGTTCAATAAGAAAGATCAACTTTTAGCAATATCTGAAAAACATTATGAATACCCTCATTGGAAACTCCCTGGTGGATATGTGGAGAAAGGTAACTCATCTGCATTTATGTAAACAAATTGCTAAAGACCTCAATTTAATAAGTAACAACCCTATAATTAATTACAGGAGAAGATTTAATTGATGCTGCTATTAGAGAAGTAAAAGAAGAAACAGGTGTGGATGCTGTATTCCAGTCATTAATTACTTTCAGGCACACCCACAAAATGATGTATGATAATTCTGACATATACGTGTTACTAATGATGTTGGCACTCACAGACAATATATCCATATCTGATAGAGAAGTCAAAGCCTGTAAATGGATGGATGTCCAGGAATATACTAACCACCCCCATGTACATGAACTGAATAAGTTATTTGTACAAAAAGCTCTAGAATATAAAAATACAAAACTAAAATTAGATTTAAAAAAGAAGAAAATAAATTGGGCCACAATATCAAGAGAAATGAATTATTTAGTATTAGAAGATGCAAACTATGAAAAATAGTTAAATGTATTATTTACTATAAATAAATTGTTATTAAATCGGAATTGTTGTAAATAAGGGTTTTATAATATTTTTTATTTCTACATAATATACAGTGTGAGTCACGTTAAAGTGTACATATGAAAATAGATGAAACTAGACCTATTTTTATCGACAAAAAAGTGGTCAAAAATTTTTTAAGATTTTTTTAAAAAATATTATAGATTTTTTAAAAAAAAAATTATAGATTTTTTTTTCTTTCAAGTACTTGTTGTAAAGAAAACGTAATAACTTTTAAACTAAGAGGTATATCCTGATAAAATAAAAACAGTAATAATGCTAAATAACAGACGATACTAAAAAAATACATAAAATACTCAGAAAATACCAACAAATAATAATAAATGATAGTTTTTGAAAAAAATCTGCTTAAAAATTCGTATTTTTTTGGTTATTTGATAAATTTCTCCAAAAAATGCCCCTATAAAAGGTGGTTTTTATTACTTTGAATTATTCTCTATCGTATTACCTTTGTAAAACCAAAAATCGCATGTCTCTATCCCTATCACAACATTTGCTATGATCGTTTGAACTAAGCCTCTCCGGGCGCGCCATTCAACACTTCGCTAACAACGAAACTGAAAATGGATCTAGATTTGTAATTTTGATAAAGACAAGTTAGATTTCAAGTAAAAATAAAAGATTTCGAAGTAAAATAAGCATTTTAGTTAATATTAAAATTGTCCCTACCTGTAGAGGAGAATAATGTTGTGGTAGGCCTTTGTTCAAACTATCATAGCAAATGTTGTGATAGGGATAGAGACGTGCAATTTTTGGTTTTACAAAGGTAATACGATAGAGAATAATACAAAATAATAAAAAACACCTGTTATAGGGGCATTTTTTTAAGAAATTTATAAAATAACCAAAAAAACACGAATTTTTAAGCAGATTTTTTTCAAAAAGTATAATTTTTTATTATTCGTTGGCTTTTTTTGTGTATTTTATGTATTTTTTTAGTATCGCCTGTTATTTAGCATTATTAATGTTCTTATTTTATCAGGATATACCGCTTAGTTTAAAAGTTATTACGTTTTCTTTACAATACGTAATTGGAAGAAAAAAAAATCTATAAAAAATTAAAAAAAAAAACTAAAAAATTTTTTCACCTCTTTTTTGTCGATAAAAATAGGTCTAGTTTCATCTATTTTCATATGTACACTTTAACGTGACTCACACTGTATTTATTTTATGTATAAAGGAGGTGAGAAATGGATTTATGACTTGTCTTACTTTTTAGAAAAACTTGTTTTGACTTTTTGAGTAGGGTTATAGCTACCTACTTGCCTGAATGTTAATAGTGAAACAATTATGTTCTAGTTAATCCTTAAGTACGAGAGCAATAAACACTATGTTATTCTGAATCTATGTCAGTTTTACTTTAGTCTAAGAAAACTCTTATACCTATACACATACTTTAAATTATAGTTTGTACACCACCTTTTAAGGCCATGATTTCCCAAATTGTCGATATTTGACCGATTTTGTTTGCAGATAGCTTCTAAATGAAAAGATATTTTAGCAAACAAAAAATTGTACGAGTAAGTTAATGTCTTTAACTAGGGCGACAACTTTTCCAAAACACGATATTGCATAGTTTGTCCGATAAAAAAAATCCCAAAGAAGTACGTCGACGGCTTTTTTGTTTTACTCTCATATATTCATTTTTAACATTTTACACTTAAAATATATACTAATAGATGGGACTTTGTATTTTCTAGGTCGACAACTTTTCAAACTTTTGTTATTGCGTCTTATTTAGTTACTATGTTGAAAAAATGTGAAAAAATCGGCCATGACGGCTTGGACAATCTTAATCAGTCGCGCGGTGGCGCTTACGGAGGACGGACGCGTGTCAGTTTTATTCCTGTGACAGTTCGCGACTTGTCAATATTTTTGACAAAATCGCCTCTGTCTGGCGGGTGGCGAGTCACAGTATAATAATATCAGTATTACTGGAGAAAGCTAAGAATTTTCAATCATGATACATAGTACATTTTCCAAAATAAAACCAATGAGTTAAAATTAATTTATTTATGGGAAATTGTGAGTCAAGCCTCTGATATAATAATATTTTAGGCTGTTTTTATACAGAAATAAATTTGTTTATTATTATTATTTTTCCACGGTATCTAACCTTGATTTTAAAACTAAGCCACGGGAATATAAAAGGCTTCTAAAGTTCTAATATACTAATTCGCCTTCTTTTAAATGCCACTTAACTATTCCAAAGAAAGCGTCAAATAAAGAACAATATTTATTATGACTTGTCCTCCTGATTTATATGTTACGGTAAATGTGATAAAAATTATGAATAATTACCGGTTATTATGAAATAATTATGATTTAGTAAATTTGATGGATACGAAATATTCGTCAAGGCGAATCACACAAGCCCAAACTCCATATGGTTCTATTGTTTTGTTACGGAGGTGGCCATTGCATCTCCTCCAGATCCATTATCAGACAGAGCTAAGAAATAAATAAATAAATATTATTATAAGTAAACAAATAACTAAAATAATTCATCTTACTATCTTACTTTTTACTAGTCTTACTAATATTATAAATACGAAAGTTTGTGTGGATGTCTGGATGTTTGTTACACTTTCACGCAAAAACTACTGAACAGATTTTGATGAAACTTTACAGTACAGTACAGCAGTACTAGGCAGTCTGTGTTCAACTATCACTCGGGTCGGACCAGTGGCGTAACTATAGGGTGGCAAGTCGGCAAAATGCCACGGGCCCCCAACCCGAAGGGGCCCCCGGTCAGAGGAAATCTCAATTCCCAACATTTATTAATACACATACTACTTAAGTAAAAAAAGTTTTGTCTTTAATTTATTTGTTACCTTCTTAGTTGCATACACAACAAAAAAAAATAAACCTAGGTATTAAACTTTTAATGCATTGGTAAAAAAAAATTTAACCCAGTTTTAGAAAGAATGTTCAAAATCCAATTACTCGTAATAATTTTGGAAACATGTGTGGACAAACATACCTCAAAAATGTGTATATTGGTTTACATTTATATTCACTGGGCATGTCTCGCTGAGACTAGGTAGGTATACTGCCGGCATTAAAATCAGTGTTGCCGTTATAGTGCATTTCTCGCTAGATAGCGCAATTCTAAACTCTTCAGCTTGTTTAAAGTGAACGTATTCTATCGTGTATTAGACATCATCATGAATCAACTTAGATCGCGTTTCCTTGGAATGAATGAAATTGTTTCCAATTTTAGTGTCTTGCAGCCTGCCATGCCATACATGCCTGCAATGTGTTACCATATTTAACAAAATACCACACAACCTTGTCGAATTGCCAATAAACAAAAGACAATGCCGGAAATTGGCGTCTTTTTTTTTTCGCGCGGCCATCGACCAAACCTTGTTTTTTGATTACAAAATAGTGTATAAACCAAACTTACTATGACATGTATGCCTCTAAACCCAGTCTGAACTGAGTTACGAGCATTAGAAGTTTGATGATTTTCATACTAGATTTGCTTTTTGCGCGCAAGTTTTGTAAGAAATTGCAACAAAATATTGCGCTATTTTTTTATTGCGCTGATTCTGCTACATACTGATGTCTGGAGCCTTTTATGGATGGTATTGTTTGTTCACACATACAATGTCACTATTTTGTTGCAATTTCTTACAAAA